ATGCTCTACATGATATGTCTACTCGAAGAGCTTATACTAGAAGGAATGTGAGGAAAATGCGGAACAAGAAGCTCCTCCCCAAGCTCCTCAAGTTCCGGCCGATCCTTTGGCTGAGCAAGTATCAAATGTGGAGTTTAGGGCTACTTTCCAAGTGTTGGCTCAAGCCATGACGGCCCAAGCCAATAGGGAGGTTGTGGTCCCCGTGAACCCAAATGTAGGTACGACGGGTTCTAGAGTGAGGGACTTCATAAGGATGAATCCTCCAGAGTTTCAAGGTTCTAGGGTTGAGGAAGATCCTGAAGAATTTATTGATGAGGTCTACAAGGTCTTGATGATCATGGGAGTGACGCTAGTGGAAAAGGCGGAGTTGGCCGCTTATCAACTAAAAGGTGTTGCTCAAATATGGTATAATCAATGGAAATAAGGAAGACTGAAAGATGCGGGTCCTCTTGATTGGGAGAAGTTTAAGGCTGCTTTTATTAATAGGTTATTTCCCCTTGATATGAAGGAACCAAAGGTGCTTGAGTTCATTGTCACGACCCGAGTCTACACCCTAGACGTGGGTGGCACTCGAGAACCATTGATGGTCCCCAAGCGAACCCTCATCCTGGCTAACTACAAGTGGAAGACAAACTCAAGCATCCAAAAGCTTAAAAACTGAATAAAATTCATGAAACTCAAATACAAAGATTTAACTCAAATAATTTACTCTGAATATAAATAGAATATTCAACTAGCCAACAATAGGCAACTCAAGTCTTTAAAATATTTAATAAGCTAAATGAAACAACTCTACTTTTTATCTATGAAGCCTCTAACTGACAAAGATGGAAGTCGGGACAATACCCATGACATCCTAACAACTAATAATAACTGAAAGTACAAGTGGAACCCTCCGGAAGCAAAGAGTCTCACCATAGCTAACTCGAACTCTATGTGGTATCAACGAAGCTCATGTTGATGACCCTGAATACCTGTATCTGCATCATGAAACGATGAAGGCCAAATGGCTCAGTACGTGGAATGTACAAGCATGTAAGGGAAATTCTAAAGCATAAACATAGACTTGAACTTGATAAAAAGGAAACATACGTAGCTCTTCTGAACTCACTCAAATCAATTCAACTCAAGAATAAGATATTAAACTCAAAGATATGATACTTAACTCAAAGGTACTCAACTCATGATACTCAAGGATAAAGCAACAGTAAAAGATTAAATATATATTGAAAGCTTTTAAAAAAGTAGATAGCAACTCAATGTATTGAAGAATACAATAATAACTCAGTTTGTATTTATATATAAATATAATATAACTCTGTGGAGTTTCTCTAACCGACAACCATCACTAAGAGCTATGTGATAATACAACGTCTCACCCACGCTGTCAGAACTGTCATATACTTTGCCGGGGTATAGAACCTCTCAACTAAGTGGATCCACAAGTATATGCTAAAAAATATTAAGGAATCATCTAAAAAGTATGACCATTTCTACCCACGTTGGCTACATTGTTTATGGAGACTTGAGTTATCTAAACTCGTCCCCATATCGGTGCTTAATACTACTCCCAAAAATATACTCATCTCATATGTTTAAAAATATAACTCTTCCTCTGGTTTGAGATAATTGCTCAAACTACCCTCTTAAAAGAGGTGACTACTCTTGAAATTACTTTTGAATTCATAACTCATTCAGAAATCTCAGTTTCTCTTTTATCAATGTAAAATTTGATGCCTCGGGGAATACATAGTCCCCTTATACTCATACTTGAAAACTTTTTCTCAAAACATTTGAAAATCATATTATAATATGGTCATTGATGACTCGGGAAGTCATACTGCATAAACATTAATGGTATATCTAATATCATACTGCTCATACATTGATGGCATACTCGATTGTCATACTAATCATTCTTTAGAAACTCTTTTCTCAAAACTCAATTTAAGAACTCAAATGTTGGCTTTAAAAAGATTTTCAAAATTTATAACTTAAATCATAGGGTTCATGCAAAATTATGGACATGAACGACTCAACTCAAGAATGTTAATGATACCTCTCATCTCAAGACTGCTCAGCTCATAGGGTTTATGCGGAATTATGGGCATGAATTACTCAACTCAAGGACCTTCATGGGTAACATGTAGTATCCCTATGATTAGGAATAAAATCCCAAAATGATTAGGAACTCAATACTCAAGACTTAGAACTTGAAGATACTACTCCTCTCAAAGATACTCAACTGATGGATTTCATGCGGAATTTATGGGCATGAACGACTCAACTCGTGACCTACCTAATTTATTGTAAAATTTTCGCGATCAATGATTAGACCATGCAAACTAGAAATAATTTTTCTTGGCTAAAGAAAGGGTCTAAATAACAATATAGAACTCAGGTATACGACTCTTCTCATTCTCATACTTACTTCCTCAAAACTTTATCTCAAACCGACAGTTGATCTCAAAGGATTCACAATTGAACTCAAAGACTTTCTTGAACTTTACTCTAACTCTTTCTTGAATTTGAATTATGAATTCAAGAGTTATGATTCATGATATGAAAGATCTAAATAAAAATATAGCAATTCGATAATTAGGAATAGAACTTTTAAAAGAAACGTGAACTCAAGAACTCAAAATCAACTTATCTCAACAATACTCAAATCTAGGGGTATAGAATCCTAGATTTCTCTTTTACTGATTCGAAAGTAGATGTAGGGCGTGAGGATGAACTAGTCCAACACTATGATAGCCTTACATACTTAAAAAAAATAAGGTTCTTGAAGAATATTGAAGAATCTTGAAGAAGAACTTGATTAGAAGCCTTGAAACCCTAGCTTGAAGGTAAACAATCAAGAAACCCTTTCTTGAGATTCTTGAATTAGTTTCTTGAAATCTCTATGGCTAAGATTTATTATTTTCATTAGTGATTCATAATTGTATGGAGAAACTTGAGTTAGAAAGAATGGAATTCTTGGAGAAAACGTTACCTTGAAGAAGAATCTTGAATGGAGTCTTCTAATTTGATTTTTCCTTAGGGTTTTGCCCTAGGGTTTGAGAGAGAAGAGAATGATGGATTAAAAAATGAAAATCTGATTGTTTTGAACCTTTTATTAGTAAAGAAATTTGTTTAGGGTTTTCTTGGAGGTAAGAAGACAGAAACGATGTTTTTTAATGTTTTCCCATCGGCTAATTCATAACAGCATTGTATAGGTTACTAAAATAGTCATAACTTTTTACTCAGAAATTGGATTGACGCGAAAATGGTGGCGTTGGAAAGTAGATTCAAATACCTTTAATTTCATATCCCATAGGTTATGGCTCACATAACTCTTTATATTCTAAGAGATATTGTCATTTAAAGTTGACCCAAGTAGAATCTTGCATCAAAACTTAATCGATAAGGAAACTTCAAGAACACTTATCAAGAACTCATCAAGAAATTAAATTGCTCAATATTTATGGATAGATTCGCAAAAGAAACTCATGATTGCCGTGTGGGTGAACGAACCCAACACTATGGAACCTTACATACCTCAAAGAACAAGGTTCTTGGCGAAATCTTGAATTTCTTGAACGAACGCTTGAAACTTTGAACTTTTTTCCCTCTTGAATCTTCTCTCTAAACCCTAAATGCTTTGGGGATGAATGAAACTGATTCTAATCAGGTTAGACTCCTAAAACCTTACTAAAAACGTTTAAATCCGATTGGGTTAGGAAAAGACCAAAATACCCCTCACTATTTTCGGGTAACTTTCCTTAACTTGACAACTTAACTTCAAAAGGGCATTTCTCACTCATTCAAACTCGAAACTTAGCAAACTCAGCGGCGTTGGAAAGATAATTCAAAGACCTTTAATTTTCCATCTTATGGCACACCTGACTCATCTTGTCGTAAGAGTTATGGTCGTTTGAAGTTGACACAAAACTCATAACTTAAGCATAACTTGCAAAATTTCAGATTTTGTTATTTCCAATTTAGTTCTTTTTGGAACTCAAGGTGCTACATCTAGTTACTTTAACACTTAAGAAATTTTTAATTCCTTGGTAAAATCTCACTCACTATGAAGAACGGTTCGAGTCTTAGTTCAAAAAAAATTTCTTATCTAGACATCCCAACTTCAAATAGACATATCTCCCTCATACGAACTCGGAATTGAGCAAGCTCGGCGGTGTTGGAAAGATAATTCAAAGATCTTTCCTACGGTATCCAGAAGCACACCTAACTCATTCTGAGCTAGGAGTTATGGTCGTTTGCAGTTGACTCAAAACTCATAATTTGCTTAACTTTGTCAAACTTTCCAAATTTGATAATTTCAAAAACGATTTCTTTCTAATTTTAGTTCTTTCTAGTTCTTTCAAATAGCGAGGTGTTACACACAAATTCATGGTTAAATCTGCCATTGTTCAGATTTAGTGGAGAAAAATAATTTATACAAGGAATATTTGAGGGCAAAGTCGGAAAAAAATGTCAAATGATTATAAAATAAATAGATACTGCCCCATGCAGGATCGAACTACAGACCTCCAGTTTACAAGACTGGCGCTCTACCACTGAGATATAGGGGCTAGTGCCGCTGAACAGTAAATAAAATTATTTTAATTACAAATATTAAATCTAGTCTTGTAGATATATCCAATAAATATGTGACTACAATTGACCATCAATTAATTTTGAGTTCATTCACAATATAACATGCACAACCAATTTGGGTAAACTTAAAACAAAAAAATACTTTACATAATTGGAAATATTGTTTATTGATTTTCATTAATATTGCATAAGGCAATATAGCCTATAGCATTAATGCATCACATACTCAAATCTCAAAAACAAGTACATGACATTTTTATTCTAAACATAAAGGTAAGTTAAAGTAAGCACAAACAAAGGACTAGTAGTGGTCATTTTATTCAAATTAAATATATAGTCCTCTAGAAGCAACACAACTCCATACTGAGACGAATTTAATTCCATCCATGTACCATAAATCCTCAATCAGTGCAGCAGCGGTACATGATAAACTTCTCCATTGGACGACTACATTCAGCACAAACCACTCTCTCAGGAACATGTCCAGTGGTACTCGGTAGAATTAGTCGAGTACAATGATGAGGACTATGAAGATCACGAAGTTGACGGTCCAATGCAGGAACAAATGTAGTAATGTCACTCACTTCATCTCTCCAATGATCAAATCCCTTCATAACTTGCACTATCATATCACATTTACCTCTAGTCATTTCAGCCAATCTGTGGCTGAAAACAGCCCATCCAAGATCACTTCCATCATAGCTCAGAATCGTCACGATTTCCTGAAGGATGGGGTCAGTTTCACCTGGGATGTCTTGTTAAGTCCTGGAGTGCCACATGCTTTCTAGCCTTTCCTAAATTAACCAAATTAGAGTTTGGTCTTGCATCATGTGGCTCAAGTTTTCAATTTGGATTATTGAGCAGTTCTTCCGGACTCTTTCCTTTGGGGTTTTTTCCCCACGTAGAGCATCTCTAGTGGAACGCAAGCTGCATTTGCAACAGCCTACGTTGCTGAGGTGAATGATCTGATCCATTCAATATCTTTTCCTCAGTACAAGCATATCCATTTTCCTTCACTAATCTACACATATTGTGTATTTTTAATAATGGTCTACGATTTTGTATTATAAATTGTTGATATAAGTAGATGTGTTACGTACCCAAATGAAAACGTTTTGATCAATAGAATCAGCTAAGAGTTCAATATTCCAAGTTTGTTCCTTCCACAAAGTTGTTTCCCTAGCTTTGGTAAAAGGAAAGGCCAATGTTGGAATGTATGTGTCCACCAGTGTCAATGGGACCAGGTCCTCAGCACAGTTGAAACTAAAACAGTAAAGAACAAGTGCTGAAAAGTAAGGATTGACAAGAGAGTTTACGTGGAAACCTCCTTGCTCAAGGGGGTAAAACCACGACCTGGCCTGCCAGGACTTTTAGAACTGTTTTTCACTAATCTTCTCAAAGCAAAAGTAAAAGTCAGTTACAAACCGAGATTAGCCTGCTAACCCTTGCTCTAAGTAACACCTCATATTACTTAGATGAGCTAGAGTAGATACCACACTACCCACTATACTAATCCTATCCTGATTAATATAGATTTTAGAGTAAGAACCAAGTTAACTTAACTCAGAACTCACAATGATTCACACAAGTTGAAACGTTTCTTATCATAACGAAACGAATCCTACAAGGTAAGCACTATTACAAGCAAACAAAATAACAGCTGGTACACGAAGCACTTGAAGCAATCGATCAGGTCCCTGCTGTTCTTCAAGCTTGAAATATTTCTCTCTTTGAAAATGAATGAATTAGTTTGTTGTTTTTCCTTGGATATATTTCGAAATGAAAAGTTATTATCCAATGAACACGCAACCTCGTCGCTTCTGATTGGTGGAGTACTTTGCAGCTTCACCAACTTTCTGACGCAGACAGCTTTCCAGTTGTATAGCACTTTGACCACTGGACGAGAATTCATACTCTACAAAGGACCAGGTCCCTGCACTTGTGAAGAGATCATCAAAACATCTAGGAACATAAGCACTTATTAATTTCCCCCTTTTTGATGATGACAAACAACCTGCATACCTCCTCACGTGAGTGATATCAAACACATTCATTCAATTACATAACAAATTCCCAATTTGTCAGTGCACCAGTAACAACCATAATTCCCCCTTAGTTCAGTGCCCCTAACAATCACAGTTCCCCCCTAGTTCAGTGCTCCTATTCCACAGCCAACTTTACAACAAAAACTTCCCCCTTTTGACATCATTGAAAAGGTGAAGCAGTAAACATATACAAGTTAAATGCAAGGAAATAAAGAATTCAAGGCTTTGGGCCACACATAACATGTGTATGTAAGCATAAAGAGAAAATTAAACTACACATGAACAGGGGACAAAACAAAAGAGAGTTGCATATCATATATACTGACCACTGTAGTTTGTCATACTAACAAAAAGCCACAAGAGTATGTGATGACAAGGTGGAACTTCAAAAGAAAAGACAGACAACAAAAGAAACAAGAGACATTTAGGATGGAGGAGTGGAGGGAGTAAAAGTACGCATCAATAACATCATGCGCTCATTTGCACTCTCATGGGCCTATATCAGTTGCTTGTTTAGGGACTTAATTTCCTCGTAGAGAGAGGCATTTGTCTTCAGCAACATTGTGTTTTCATCCCTTAACTCTTTGAGCATTAGCTCGTGACCCTCACTGGTACCAGGCCCCTAGAAACGGCCTTCTGCAGTTCAGACTTCAGCCTGGTGATTTCAACCTCCTTATCACTCAGAATCTTAGTGAGATCAGTCACTTCCCTTCTAAGAGTAGCCTACTGTTCTAAAACATCTGCCACCTAAGATGTTCCCCTAGTATGTTCCTTAATGCACTCACATTCTAGTAGAGTAGACATAGTGAACATTTGTTTGGTAGTATCAGGTACCCCTTTTCCCACTGGAACTTCAAATTGGTTGAAGATAAAGTTTAGCAAATACCCATAGGGAATCCCTTGCTTAGCATTCTTCCATATCATTACTCTATGCATATGTTCCAGCATAATTGCAGGGAGGTTGATTTCCTCAAGCTCATCAAGTTTTTCCATGAGGAAAAGATCAGCAGCAGAAGCCACGATTCTTTTCTCAGTCCTGGGCACCATGACTTTGTTAATGAACTCAAACATCAATTGATACTCCCTTTTAAGAAACTTCTTAGGGAGCCCTACAAGCTTGACATCTCCTTGTTTGGTAGCAAGCTTCGAAAAATCACCAGATGGTTTTCATCCCTCAATAGTTCGAACTCCCATTACAGGCACTCCAAGAATAATTCCCAGAGTTTCTTCATCAAGATGAATCTCCACATTCCTGACAGTAGTTGTGATGCCACCTCCTTCCAGTAGTTCCATTTTATAGAAGAACTCACGCACTTTAGGTTCGTGTAAGTATGGAACTGGTGGTTCAAATAAATGATTCCAGCCTTGAATGGTAACAGCATCAACCAAATTTCCCATACCAAACTGTGTTAGAATGACAGGGTCAAAGACTCTACCATTCAAGACCTTTTGTTGCTCCATTTTCTCTACCCGCTCTTTTCTGGTCAAGTCCTTCTCTTCGATTTGATTTTTAACCTTGAGACCAGGTCCTTTTACGGTTTGTTTCTCTAACTGCTTTCTTCCTTTTTTCTCCCTTTGCACGAGATTTTTGCTTGTTAACTTTCACACTCTTTGTAGGAGATTTCTTTCCCCCTTTTTGATTCCCCTTTGTTTTAGTCCTTTCTTCCTCAGCTTTTCTCCTCATTTTTGCCACATACTTCACAGCTTCTTCATATTCAGTTTCACTGTTCTCAATAGACAGTGGAGTAGAGGCAGGTTGTTCAGGTTTAAGCCATTCTCTTCTCTTCTCCTCTTCCTACTTCTTTCCATGTGGGCTTTGCTTGCAGCAATAGCACTTCCCATAACCTTTTGTGCTTCGCTCCTTGTAACATACTTCCTTTTGTCCCCTTTAGAGAGAGACAGTACCAACTTTCCCTTCCCCTTTCTCTGTTGCTCCTTTTCTCGTTTATCAGATTTTTCAACAATGTCAACCTCAGATGTACCTTTAATTGCTTCCAACTCAGAAACATTTATTTGACAATGGTTTGCTCCACGTATTCCCCTAGAGTGCCATTTTAATGGAATCTCTTCTTTTTCTTCCTTATCGCTTCCAACATCAAATGATTTTAGAGTTTGGTCAAAAATAGGCTCACTTCTGGGAGGGACCTGATCCGGTGACTCTAATTCATACTCCAGAGAAGTGGGCGGAACATCACCTCTTAAAGAGGCTAAGCTTTGAATAACCACTAGTTCAGCACCAACAGTTAGGATACAAGATTCAGGACCTTTTCCTTCAGGTAGGTCCCCTTCAAGAACATTCCCAGATATGGTTGATCACACTTCCAGGGAACCAATGTTAGTTTCTTTCATAAAAAGACCCTTATTAGGTTTTGCCACAGACTGTGCCTCTGAATTTGGGGATTTGTCACTAGATAGAACCAGAGTAGGAGAGCAAACTAACATATTTTCGGAGTGAAGAACAAGGCTGACCAAGATGTCGGCCGTCGGGGAGATGGATTCATCCATTTCTCTAACACCACAGACTGGGGTGGACGGAGATTCTTCAGGAGGGGAAACAGAGAATTTGAATGAACTGGGTTTTCAACTTCTTGGGAGATGGATGTTTTCGAAGAAGACTCAGTGATAGACATGTTTCAAGAGATGAGGAAAACAGAATCTTGGAGAGAAATTTAGAGATTTTTGGGAGAAAGTTTATGATTTTTAATTTTAGAAGAGGAGATGGAAGCTAAATAGTAACCCTTCAACAGAGATTTAAGTTTAAAAGGTATCGGGTCCCAAAAGAGGCAACCCTTGGTATTAAAAACGATAAGACGTTTTGAAACTAATGTGATGAATGGGAGAGTGACACGTGGCAGTGATGTTGACATTTAGAGAGTGTAGTATAATTGATACTCACCTCATGAGGACCAGGTCCTCCTTTCAGTTTGTAACTCTGCCTGTGTGATTAAACCTTCCGTTCAGCTAAACACACTATGAGTGTATACCTGCATTAAGGTACCGGAAGTGAATTCTTTTATGACAAGCAGTAAAACAAGTATAGATACTTGCCCTCTTTAACATAATCAATACGAAGGATTTCTTTGTGCAAATCTGTCAAGGGGTCAGGTGATTTTGTGCATCCCTAGCCTCATCCTATTTTTGATGAAGAATTATTTACTTAATGGTTTTGTAAAGATATCAGTCAACTGGTCTTCAGTTTTGCAAAACCTCATCACCACATTCTTCTTTTAAACATTGTCCCTCAAAACGTGATGCCTCACATCTATATGTTTTGTCCTTTTATGCTGGACAGGATTCTTGGCCATATTCATGGCACTGGTGTTATCACAGATGAGAGGAATGGTGTCTGAAAGTACACCAAAGTCTTCTAGATGCTGCTTTATCCATAACAGTTGTGCACAACGTGATGCAGTAGCCGTAAACTCTGCCTCTGCAGTAGACAATGCCACAGAATTCTGCTTCTTTGTTCCCCATGAAATCAAAGCTGATCCCAGGAAGTGTGCCATGTTTAATGTGCTTTTTCGATCAACAAGAAAACCTGCATAATCAACATCATCATAACCTATAAGATCAAAAGAGTCATCTGTAGGGTAGAAGAGGACCAGGTCCTAAGTTCCCTTCAAGTATCTCAGGATGTGTTTGGCTGCCTTCAGGTGAGACTCATTTGGTGCTGCTTGACATCTTGCACACATCCCTACATTGAACACTATATCTGGCCTGCTTGCAGTGAGGTACAGGAGGGACCCAATAATTCCACTATACATGGTCTGATTAACCTCCACGCCATTTTCATCTCTATCAAGTTTCACACTTGTGCTCATAGGAGTATCCAGCACCTTTGCCTCAAAGAAGATTAAATTTCTTGAGCAACTCTTTGATATACTTCTCTTGGCACATTGAAATGCCTTGAGAGGTTTGTGTGATCTGCAAGCCTAGGAAGAAAGTAAGTTCTCCTATCATACTCATTTCAAACTCACTGCTCATCAGACCAGCGAATTCCTTGCAAAGTAAACCAGTAGTGGTTCCAAAGATGATATCATCCACATAAACCTGCACAATTAACAACTCATTTCCTCTGGATTTCAAAAACAGTGTATTATCAATTTTACCTCTTTTGAAACCATTTGCAAGAGGAATTTTGACAAGTGTTCATACCAAGCTCTGGGAGCTTGTTTCAACCCATACAGAGCCTTGTCTAACTTCAGCACATGATTTGGCAGTTCTGCGCCTTCAAAGCCTGGAGGTTGCTTGACATTTACTTCTTCCTTCAGATTCCCATTCAAGAAAGCACTCTTGACATCCATTTGAAATAGTTTGAATTCCATGTGAGCGGCAAATGCTATTAAGATTTTGATGGCTTCCACTCTAGCTACAGGAGCAAAGGTCTCATCATAATCAATTCCCTCTTCTTGGTTGTAACCATGTACCACCAATCTTGACCTATTTCAAGTAATGATTCCATGCTCATCAAGTTTGTTTCTGAAGACCCATCTGGTCCCAATAATGGTTCTGTCAAGTGGTCTAGGGACAAGGTGCCACACTTTGCTTCTCTCAAATTGATGAAGCTCCTCCTGCATTGAAGTTACCCAGTCTACATCCTTCAAAGTTTCCTTGATGTTCTTGGGTTCAATGGATGATATGAATGCTGAATGTGCAACTAGATTTCTTGATTTAGACCTAGTTTGAATTGTTAAGTCAAGTGGAGAGGTGAGATTATCTAGTGGATGTGAAGATTGATGTTTCCATTCAGACTTTCTGGTAATCTTTTCTTCTTTGTCAGCATCAGAATTACCTTCATCTTCTTCAGGATTTTGAGACATCATTTCCTGTGATGAACCTGAGGGACCAGGTCCTTCTAAGTGTTCTGCATCCTTCTCTTTTGTGCCCTGATCATCCTGTTGCTTGTTCATCAGCTCCTCACACTCGTAGTCCTCATTGTTCTCATTTCTTGTACCCAATTCATCAAACTTGACGTGCATGCTTTCTTCAATACAAAGAATTCTTTTGTTGAACACCATGTACGCCTTGCTTGTAGATGAGTACCCAACAAATACTCCCTCATCACTTCTGGCATCAAACTTGCCTAAATCATCCTTCTCATTTTTTAGCACAAAACATTTGCACCCGAATGGCTTGAGATGAGCAATTGAAGGCTTTCTGTCATTTGACAACTCATAAGGTGTTTTCTTGATAATTGATCTGATAAGACACCTGTTTGTCACATAGCAAGCTGTATTAACTGCTTCAGCCCAAAAATTCATTGCAAGTTCTGAATCAATCAGCATTGTTCTAGCAATCTCCACCAGAGTTCTGTTCTTTCTTTCAACAACTCCATTTTGCTGAGGAGTTCTTGGTGCTGAGAAGTTGTGATTGATTCCATTTTCGGCACAAAACCCTTCAAGTATAGAGTTTTCAAACTCCGTACCATGATCAGATCTGATACTTGCTATCTTGCAATTTATCTTCAATTGGATGGCTTTGGCAAAAGTGATCAGATTTCCAGCAGTCTCATCCTTTTTCCGCAGAAACATATTCCAGGTGTACCTGGAGAAATCATCAGCAATCACAAGAATATATTTTTTACCTCCTCTGCTTTGAATTCTGACAGGTCCACACAAATCCGTGTGGAGAAGTTCCAAAGGTTTGATAGTGCTCACACCCTTTTTTGCCTTGAAAGAAGATCTTGTTTGTTTGCCTTTTGCACACTCATCACAGACTTTGTCATTGGAAAACTTCAGCTTTAGTAGTCTGCGGACCAGGTCCCCTACAACAAGCTTGTTAAGTAAAGAGGTACTTACATGAACCAGTCGTCTATGCCAAAGATTTGCATCATTAGTTTGAGCACTTAGACATGACAAGCTAACTCCTTCAACAGAATCAAGATCAGCAACATATATATTCTTGACTATTTTGGCAGACATCACAATTTTCTTAGTTGCATAGTTTGTAACCACACACCTTTCAGACATGAACTTGACTTCATTTCCCTTATCACAGATTTGTGAAATGCTCAAAAGATTGTATTTTAAACCCTCCACATAGTGTAC